AAAAAAAAAAAAAAACGAAATAAAAAAAAACATGCACATGGGGAGCGAAAGAGGATGGAAAATAAAGAGAAGCATTCGCAATAGAAACGAAAGAAAGATGCCCCAACATTTTTTCAGCCAAACGAGGCTAGACCAAAATCCGAGGTCTGTACGGTTCATGTTGCCATTTTGCCGCCCCGTAGCACCTGCAACTCGCAGACAAGCTCATTGAAGAGGCGCTGGCGCCGTCATCGCGGCTAAGCGGGCCCACTGAATCCGACATTCCAACACGAAGGGATATGGGGAGCGCGTGATCAACAGTGCTAACCGCAGAGTGTCGCATCTCGGGTGCGGTGTCCACCACTCCACAGGTAAGACCCTCAGAACGCATCGAGTTCTCAGGAGCAAAGAAGATGGATGAGTATTGGTGCGGTCGCGTCTCTGATTTATGCTTCTGCGTATGTTGGTCACAACCACACGGCTGACGGTGTGCAGCCGCCGTGGAATCCACAGTCGCAACTTCCCTCGTCACAGATTCACGGTTAATGCTGAGCGTAGGTGCTGAGCCCGTACTCCCAATGCATGTACTCGCCTCACCACTCAGGGAAAAAGAGTTGGTTATGGAGCTCTGTCCGCTTGCAGCACTTCGAAGAACCAAAGGAAAGCCACGCACAGACGCTTGTCGTGCATGTGGTACCGACAGAAACGCGGGTGTAGATGAGGCAGAAGCGGAAGACCGCATGGAAGAACCTTGAGGCTCCATTGGAGAAAACGGTAGGGCATCCTGTGGCGTTTTAGGCCGTGATCTGCGTCCCAAAGGAAGCTTGGGGTCAAGCTGCATGATTTCCTTGCACAAGTGCAGAAAACTGCACTCCTCTGCGTAGCGGCAGCGATCAAGGATGTGAAGGCGACATATCGGGATGTCTGCCGCATTCAGCACCACCCTTGGTGGATCCGCTATTGGCATACGTCCCTCCCGGACTGCCTGTCTGTATCGAAAGAGTTCCATATGGATCGACTGTGGTAGCTCGTTAAGCATCTTTGCCACAGGAATAGTGTAACCAGTGCGGCTCAGTGGGATAAACCCACCATTAAAGGAACTCTCAGGGATGTGTATCCACACATTTGCCAGACAAGAGCCATACTCCATCACACCAGAGATATCCTGGTCACCATGCAGCGTGCAGCACCATGGGAGGCTCTTCACCTGGCTTCGCAGCGCCACAATCGCGTCCAGCGCGGCGTGCACCTGGTGGCAGTGAACGCCCTGGCGGCAACGGCCCTGCAGGAAAAGTTGGCAGAGGCTCGGGATCGTCGCACGTTGCTGCGCGCGGGTGGGGTACACCGATTC